ACACACACACACACAGACATTAAAGCCAACCTGTTGCGGTAATAAATGGATCGAATTCGTACAGATTCGTCTTACTGCATCTATCAGAACTATAATAATATTCCCAATGGATTTACAAAGAGCTTAAAATCAAAGCACAAATAAGGTAACCCCATTGCCACTGTCATATGTAACCACTTGGATCCAATCATTTGCTAAACTGCGAGCAATCTTGGGCAATAGGGTCTGTAATTGAGTGGGTTTCAAAATGTGTTACAAAAAATCTATTATGATCACAACCAGGAATCTACATGCTCTTATGTTCAGCCAGCGGGACAGACATAAAAGAGATGTAAAAGGAAACAGAGCTAAGGTAATCTAGAGGACTTCCACTCAAGTGCAAATGTATTTTTCTTCAGCAAGGACACCACTGAATTCCCTGGGTCCCATTAATGTACCTCCCTTTTAACTCCTACACATCAGATTGTAAATCAGCATGTTTAACCACACTGTTATGTGCTTTATGAGAATTACTTCATGTATCCAGCTGTGTGCTGCGACAGGGTCTAAAGATTATTATTAGTAGTAGTATTACTATTATTTTTTATTTTTTATCACCAGCATGCTATCATCTTTTCCAGTGCTATGAAAATAACTACAATTAACAAGCTCATGGGATCAAGCAAAGCATTTACTTACACTTACACAGCTCATACCACAAGTTGATCTTCATATTTACCGAACAGCATATTCTCTAAAGTGCTTAGTAAGGCCTGTAGTATCTGATAATGGGCAATAAGAGCCAAAGCTGCTCAATTCACAGAGTAAAAATAATGGTTTTTAATCTTAATGAGAAGAAATTGAAGCTAATCTATTGCTGATCCCAGATGTGTAGTTGTTGATCCGTAGCTTTGATGGTCTTAAAGGCCAAGCCAAGAGTGCACCCACCTATTAATTTTTCCCATGACTGTAAAACTTCTGCAGCAAGCCCAAACTTTTACTTATACTTCACCACGTCAAGGGCTGCCAGGAAAACGGGATTCCTAATATGAGAAGGCAGCAATAACAATAACAGTAAAATATCCACATCCTCTTTGTGGCCATAAATAATAAAAAAGCCATCACGCGTTTTCTTGTACCCGTCAATATCACTATGTGTAGAAGGAGACTATGTTCTAGGCATTGCACTTAACCACAAGACAGCCTTTCTTTCTGTATACTATTAGCTGAAGCTTGACCTGCTCCCAAAAGGCCAGCGGGTCAGAGGTGGAGTGGTGTGAAAGCACACGATGTCACTTACAGTGCTTCCACATCTAAGCCGAGTCGACCAACTAATAGCGAAAAAACACGCACGCACGTATACTATACTAATGCTGTCTAAACATACAGGAGTAGCCCTGCTTTAGTGAGTCCCATTAGGCACTTCAACCCCCAAATCTTGCAGTCTTCAGCCCACCCCCCCCCACCCCCCCACCCCAATGAAGCCTTGCGGCACACTCCAATGTTAGCGACTCAGCATGTTTTCAGCGCAGTGAGGACGCACGCTCAATCATCATTAGGGGTTTTGCGGAGTCCTGGGGTCTGGGCACCTTGCCAGGATGTGTAAAAGTTTCCATGAAGAATGCTTTGAGTTGCCTTCAGAAGCACTGGTGGTGGACAGAGATCCTCGGGAAGGCTAGAATTCCGCTTTTGTTGCTGGGGGTTGGGAGTTGGGCAGCGAAGGAAGGAGGAAAGAAGGATCAACAACAATTCTGTTTTCAGTTAGTAAAAAGCACACTAGCTTTGAATTGAGGAGGAAACAATCGCAATTCCCCCCCCCCACCAACGCTCCCATCTAAAAAACTACCTTGCAACACAAGGAAACCAGAGCACATATGTCAAATGTCAGAAATCAGCAGAGGCTGGTTTGCACTCTGTGTTTTTCTTATTTTAGGGAATAAGGGCTCTCTGTTTCCCAGAGAGGCAGGTGGTAGAAATCTGGCTCTCTGATTAACAGTAGTTCCTTTGCTGCGTGCTGCATTCAGTTACATTTCATGATATCACCCATCACAGCAGCAGCTAATGAGACAGGACACACGGCAGCAGCCTCATAGGCCCCGAATGCCTCACACTGCCAACACATCGCCTCTGCTCTACTTTACTCTACTCGCAACCACAGCAAAATACCTATAAACAGCAGGAACAGGTTTCCAAGGCAAGAAAAATAAGTCTCAGAATAGTAGCTTAGGTTTGTGTAACCCGTGTTTTTCATATGTAGACCAAGATATGTCACAGGAAGCGGTGTCACCAGAAGTGCGCCTTAAAATATATGACAAAAACATGCTGTCATTAAAGCTTTTTTTCTTTTTTGGCTTAATTAGTTCAGCTAACAAGACAAACGTAATCCTTCAGACCGAGTTATTCATAAAATTCTATTTGTGTACCCACTGATCTCATTTGACTGCCATTTTTCTAGCTCATAAAGTACAGATAGCGGGCTGCGAGTAAGTACGAAATGTCTGAAATCTTTGCTTTTACAAGAGCCCCACTATGAGTTGTTTACCACAGTGAGTCAACAATGCAACAAGGCGTAGTCGCCTAGCAGAAGGGTGTTTCAGCCTCTTCTCGCCTCCATTCCCTAAACCACGCTGATATTTGGCCTTAATTCCAGGTAGGAGAAGTGAGGCTGTAAGCGGGTGAGAGCCAACATGCCACTGAGTGAAAATGGGAGCTCCAACGGTGATCTGACTGCCAACTGGAGTCTTCCCATAAAACCTCATTGCAGAAAAAACAAAAAAGAACCATCACATCATGGCTCACACTGAAGTTAGTAAAGCTTCTATCGCAGCAGAGGGAAGAGTTCAGCACTTTACAATGGAGACTGTGTCTACGGCAGTTAGGGGTGTTTACATCTCAGACCCCCTCCCTGCTAACCCAGCTCCTTACGGTACAGTAGCTCACCGTTGATAAGTTGAGTGATTTCTCAGGGGCTGTGTAAAACCTGGGCCCAGCCAGAGAGACACATTTCCTCTGGCTGATGAGAGTCGGGAGGCCTCAGTGTTAGGGCGTGGGAGGTGCACTGCTCTTGGGGAAGATCAAGTGTGCTCCTGCCGACTCCAAATCACGGCCTCCCCAACTGCTTGGGAGGAATGCTTTTTCTTCATGGCCGATGTTAAATCACCGCTGCCGCGGTGAGGTCATCTGCTAGTCTTCTTTCTTTAATTGAGCTTGCTAACACACGGCTGTAATGCGTACAGACGGGGGAGTGAGACGCCGGGTTGAGCTGCCTTCCGATCCTATTTATTTTAGCTCAGGGCTCATTTGAGGGGTTTTGGATAGGGTCGGGCCTTGGAGCAGCAGATGCCTTGGCAGTATGCTGTTACCACCGCACACTTACCAGGACTCCAAGAGTTTACCACAGATGCTTGCACAGACGTTAGGTGATGTAAACGGCAGCACGCTGAGGTTTTCAAGGGGCTGCCTCACTGTCTTTGGTCAATCAATACACATTCCTGTGCGTCCCTAATGTAGCTATAATCGCAGGCTGAATACATTTGGCCACCGGGTCGGAGGAAGACTGCGCTTACTAAAGTGACAGAGGATGGAGTAGCGGGGAAGAGAAACAAGGTTACTTGGATGAGCACTGCCACGTCGGTTGGTGTAAAAGGACCCGTTTGGCAACCGTAGTAGAAAACTCAAAATAAAGCTATCGTTTTACTTTATTCAATTAATGCCCACGTGAACGCTTCTGCTGCTGTAATTATTGAAAGCAACAAGAAAGGATTCAGCTTACATCTCCAGACAGTCCAGATTTGTATGAATTCAAAGAGGAAAAAGTCTAAAAGATTTATTTACTTTTGTTGTTTTTTTTAGAGGAAAGAGAAAGTTTCAAATCAGTTTATAGAGCTGATAAGGGGCAGACATCCCTCCTGTGTCTGTATTGTCTGTTTATGAGATAATGACTAACGGGACTCATCAAGACTGACAGATATGCTGACAACTGCTTTTCAACTCAATTACAGTTCCACAGCGAAACTCCCCAGGTCCCCTCATGCCTATCACCCCTGTACTCCCAGAGCTGTTGAGTGAATGCGTATGAGCTCATACACACACATGCAACAACATTAGTTTACTGAACAAAAGGTGCACAGGAAGGGTGATATTCCTGAGTTCAATGCGGTGGCGCCTCCCTCCCCTCTCCACCACCTCTAGTAGTTTGCAGGCAGATTTTAACAGGTCAAGCTGGCTGGATGCCAGGGATGTGCTCTATGGATATATATCATAACAGCAAGTGGAGCTTCTGCTAACACAGATAACAGGTTGCTGCCCTTAGAGACACAATGTGCGATGGACACAGGAGGCAATAAACCCAACCATATGGTCTCTTGGGTGTGACTGGTTTCATTGCTAGTGGGAGACTGGTGACCCCACAGTCTCCCCTGATGACGACAGCTGCATGGTGTGGACTCCGTGGGGAAATGACGGGAAAACAAAGCCTCTGCCTCCTGCGTCCCAGCATCCCTCCCAGATATTAGGGGGTGGCGATGAGGAGGGGGTGGGCCGGCTCAGGAAACCCCTACCCATTGTTTTGCTTCCTTCATTAGTCGTTGTGTCAACAGTTTGGATCGCTACGCGTGTGCCACTGTTTTTGTTCGGCTGCACCCCGGCTGACCCCAGTGCTGTGATGTTTTGACAGATTGTTTCAAAATCCCATCAAGGCAATTTACCGTTTGAAAGTCAAGCGGCCATTCGGACAACATAAGCTGGCCGGCACATTAAAACCAAAAGCAAATAAATCCACTGGGCCTAAAATTAAACAAATCTGACGTAAATATGCTGCCAGAATTTTTTTCAGGAAATACTCTGAGGTGCAATAGGGTGCGGCCGTGCGTGAGGGCTTGCAGATAAGAAAAAGCTGTTAAATAAATGTGATGTGTTGCACAAACAGCCAATTTTGGCACGGACAGTGATCTCATAAAGAGAAACGTATAACTTTATTTAGTTATTATTCTGGATAATGTGCATACACTGCAGGAACTCACCGTCATCTAGGTACATCTGGTCCAGTTCCTGGGGCTCCTGCTTGACGGTGATGGCCATCGAAGGTGGGCTGGCATCCTCAGGTAGCAAGCTTGGTGACCTCCCTCCAGCTTGGGCTGAGCCAACTGGGCTGTAGGCCTGAACGAATGGGCTCTCCGCAGGCCCAACTGGAGTGGAAGGGTGGGACGCTGGGGAAGATGAGGGGCTGCTGTTGGTATAGATAGGGTGGTAGTTATGGCGTCCTGGGCTGTTGAGGTGGTTGGGGCTACCCTGGGAGTGGAGCAACCCTAGAGAAGAGTTGTTATCTGGCGAAGATGGGTGGGCGAGATTAGGGTGGCCAGGGTTGTCCTGAATAGGGGGCGCTACCATGGGTCCCGGTGGTGCTGCTGCGTGGGTGGGGCTGTTGGGGAGGCACTTGCTGAATGCCACAGGAGACAGGTCATGAAGGGTGGGGCTTGAACTGGGGGGTGACGATGGCATGGCAGCATGGCGAGGTGGGCACGAAGGGTAGCCCCCAACCAGGCAGGCTTCAGGGTCAGCCACAGGCATGATGGGAGTGAGTCTTGGCTGGCTGTAGTAAGGAGTGGAATGCATGGAGAGCCCCACGGTACCCAGAGAATCATATTCATCGTGGGGTTCTGTCTTTATGATCGGCACTGATGGGGGAAAGTAGAAAGAAAGAAAGAAAGAAAGAAAGAAAGGAGAGGTTATAAAACGTGCAGGGAATCCACGTGGCGCAGTGAGCGTATGACTGAGGCTGAGTAAAGCATCGAGCAGGCAGAACTGCGCCTGTGATACCCTTTATAATCCAAACAAACAACCACCAGTGGATCTGGGCTCAGCGTCAACTTGGCAGAGTCCTCTAACAGAGAAATCCTTACGCCTCCTCTTTTGCCACCCATCTTTACCACACCGTGAAAAAAAGCAAAAGAATAGGGAGGAAAGAAAAATGGATGAGTCATCAGTGTGGAAAGCCACAGCTGGCTCTAATAATGAATAGGACCTATTTTCTTTGGACTCTCCTCCAGCTCTGATATCCAATAAAAGTACTTTAAAGCAGTGGAGTGCTGCTGCTGTTGCTGCTGCTGCTGCTCTGGACCCCCAGGTTTCCTCCACACTCCAGAAGTAATTGTTTCTC